GCCACGTGGCGCCGCCAGATTTGTGAAACCCCTTCCCCTGCGGCCGCCACGTGTCCGCGGGCTGTGCGGACTGGCCGCGGCTGCGGACTTGGCCGCGCCTGTCCGCCGCCGGGGGGGATACATAGTGTTGCATTGAAGCTCATTCTGAATCACTGCCTCCAAGCGCGAAATTCAATGGTTATGAAAATCGCAATTCAATCGCTCCCTCCAAGCATCGAAACTGCAACCTACTGATTGATAATCAGAACGCTTACCACAAGGCAAAGTGAGCTCGGATGAAAGTTAAGGCCCGAGATAAGCACTTAACCCCACCCAAGCATGGTCAGTACATCACATTGACACTGTGACACATACAGCCATGACCCGGTGTACCCAGTCACATCTCTTTGCTTCCAAGCACAAAGAGAAAAGGGAACGATCATAGTGCTCTCTCTCTCTCTCTCTCTCTCTCTCTCTCTCTCTCTCTCTCTCTATATATATATATATATATATATATATATATATATATATATATATATATGCCGTGGGTACTAGTTGCATGATACCCATATGGTCTGGACGATGTGGCGCTGATAGTTAATGAGACTCTCTCTCTCACCACCGCTGAGTCGACTGCCAGTGGGCCGTTCGAAAGACAGAAAACAATGCACTGCGGCCTTTTTTTACGTTCACCAAATGTTGCCTCAACAAGGTCTTTAGCCTGTTACAGTAGCTCAATGGAGCTATAAATTTAATGTATATATGTCAACAGGCATGTAGGTCTATAACTTTGTTATAGGTGAATCGGATTCCATGATTGAAGTACAGTATACTACTGAGGTGTACATGAATTTCAGAATTAAGACTTCAAATACAGTCTCCCAAAACCCTATGCCGTGCATCCATTCAGCTTCCACTGGGAAACCTTTTGTAGCTCCCCTGCCTTCGACCCCAAGCTCTGCCTCCCTGTCCCCCTCCCCCTTTCTCTTGTTTGTACCACTTACAGCATAACCTTAACAACCATTTCGTCGAAATTTTGCTTTTTTCATTCAATAAAAAGAGACTGCCCAGATGCAGCCCAAGACAATGTTTGATTGACTCTAAGATTCTCTGGGGACTTCAACGTGAACGTTTCTGCAATTCCGAGTGGATCTGGGGATTCATCTTCCCCCACAGCCAGTCAACAATTTCACTTCCACGACCGAGGCGATCTCACTCCGAAACGCTCCAGTAGAGCGAATGAAGCACGTGTAATCCGCGATACGACCTGGCTGTTTGTCGCGATGAAAGTACCATGTTCATGTCCTGTCTCGCCATCATCGATCTAGAGTGCTCGCTTCGTTGGCTTTCAAGGGCGGATGATATTTCGTCGTCTGGGTGGTGTGTTGGACGTTCCTTCCGTCGAGGACGGCTTGTTTGCCCGTCCTCATAATTGTAGACGACGGCAACGAGGGTGTTTCATTCGTCGATCATCTGGGTGGATGCTTGTAGTGACGAGGACCGTTGTTGTTCCTCGCGTTGTAGTTGGGTCTTTTCTTTAATGGTTTCACCATACCTTTCTTTTCGCCGCGTTTCCGACGATTGGGGGGCTTGGGGTGGGGGAGTGGAGGTGGTGTGGTGGCGGGTGGCGGTGGTTAGGGCGGTGCGCAAGTCTGCTATATCAGGTGGGGGAGGTAGGCGGGCGGGAGACCGGTGTGGTGTTTATGTTCACGTACTTATCCATGTTTGCACGTGCTTAAAAATATTTGGTTACTCTCCACGATCGCTTCTCGAAGCACTCAATCGATTTTTCAAGTACAAGAATGTGTTTTTATTTTGGACTTGTATGTGAGGTCGTCTTCTTGTGTCTGGTTGTGTCCTTCTCAACGACATGTTTGTTTTATTGTCTCGTGTATGAGATTTTTGTCATGTATCTCGTTTATGCTTGTTTGCATTTCCAATTGTAAATCGTAGTTGCGTTGTTGTTCCACATGCGACTTGCATGCCATAAAAAAAGGAAACAAGTTCATCTTGTCACATTTCGGTCCTTTCAGCAACAGCATCGTCATCGCGCGTTTTGTTATGTTATTTTTTTCTGTATACTTTTTTTTTCCATTTATTCCTTTTGGGGTTATGTTTTGTCAGGTGGAGGCAATGTTAACACATCCGCGGTGTGGTGTGTGTGACGGCCACCATACATGATAATATGTCCACGACATTGAGATGGTCATTCACCCGTAGTCGACAAGAAAATTTCACAAAGAAGATAAGAAAAACACTAGTATGTGTTGTGTAACACTCCGTACGACGTACGGGGGGTTTATCGTACGGTCATACGTACGGCCGTATGAACGGCCGTACGGCCGTATGAACGGCCGTACGGCCGTACGTAAGGCCTCGTACGAAAAAAAAAATAAAATGTTTTTTGTTTTTTACTAAAATTCGGTAATGAATTTCAATATGACCCTGACGCAAAAGTGTTTCAGTTTATTTTTCTGCATACCATTTTTTGTTTTTCAGACTTTTTTGAAAATTTTTTTTTTGCTTTTTTTTCGTACGTACGGCCTATACGACCACATGAGCCCGTACGTACGGCCCGTACGACCACATGAAACCGTACATACAAACGTACGTACGTACGTACGGCCCGTATTCGTACGGGGGTCTACACAGGGTACGTGAGCAACCATTTGCACACAAATCGAAGTCCTCGACACACACATTCCTTAATGAAATCCATAGATTTGCATTGCATACTCGAAGAGGTAAGCCCGAGATTTTCATGCTGCCCAGCCTTCCGCGAGTTTTTCTGCCGCCGTCCGCCCATTGAACGCACCAAAGCACATTTGTCCAGCACTCCACCACATGAAGAATTGTTGCCTCCTGTTGCGCCGCCATGTCATCATCTTCAGGTTTGTCCATAATTTTCACCCGAACCACAAAGGAACGTCCATGTTCATCTGCAGCGTGTAGTAAATGAGGGGTGGGGAAACCAGTCTCGACCATTCCAGCCCCTGCCAAACAGCTCGTGCGATGTCGGTAGCGTAGTTGACGGTGATGTAGACTCCGCACGGGTGAAGCCATTCGATCTCGACGACGATTTGAAGATCCTCTGGTGGATGATGCGCATTACCAGTTTCTCCACGATGCACACTCTGTGCAAAGCTGGTTCACGCTGTGCTGGATCATCGATCTTGAAGCGTGGCACATCGTTCGTGGGCATGATGAGCATGGACGGTGGTTCGGCCCTGCGTCTCCGTTGGCGATGGCGACGAAGTAGTCCGAGCAATGGACAGGGGGTCGGTCGTCGTCATCGTCGCCTTCCCGTCGTCCATCTCTTTTACCATCTTCACGGCGCACGTGATCAACCCTCCCCTCTACCACACCTTCCGCGACTCCGCTTGCAGAAGTGTGATGATCTCCCGCCAACGTTCGACTGCCGCCTGCATCCACTTTCGTTTGTGGGGGCGGTGTTATCGCCGCGCTTGAACCCCTCGCCTGTTGCGCGGGGAGTGCCTGACGTGGCTGGACTGCCCCGATCACTGCCTTGTCAAATCTGCCTCCCCCACCGACCAGGACGATCGGTGTGCGAATGCCGCTGGTCGTCGCCTCACCCACCCCCGCAGCTTGCCTCTGCAGCCACGCCTCAGTGATGACAATCCCTTGTGCCTTGTTTGTCCTAGGCGACGCTCCGACGACACCACCTACGATGACTTGTTTGATAGTAGCCAGTTTATCCCTCGACACTCCGTCCCGCCCAAAACCCAATCGCTGGCTCCCCCCCGTCCCTTGCGCGTCCACCATCACAACTTCCTCTGATTGGAAGTCGTCATCGTTCTCCGAGCTTGCTGCATCAACGCGCAACCTTTTCGACTTGGGCATGTGGCCTCGAACTTTCTGTCCTTCCACCCCCTCACCAGGACCGCTATCTCTCCTGCCCTTTCCTGTCGCGCCCCACGGTGCCATTTGGGCACAACTTCAGTCCCCTTGCCACGTGGTCTATGAAGGTGTGTTGAGTGCGACGCGGACGAGCACGAAGGGCACTTGAACGTCCACGTTTGACGACCGACGGAAAGGAAGGACGTGGGCAGCGCGTACTACGGGGCAGTGGGCACTGGCCACAGAGGAGGTTCGAGGATGACGAGCACAAAGGTCCACCAGAAAGTGAGAGCAGACGACGTGGAGGCTCATAGCGTCAAACGGGATGTAGAGGCGTACAACAAGAGGGCAGTTCACACGAGGCACCTCTAGAGCCGTGGCAATGGAAGGACCGCGGTACGGAATGGCGCCCAGATTGTCCTTTTGTACCGTGTGCAGTCTCTCACCACACCATGGATGCACTTCGCCGTACCTAAAGCCCGCCCGTCCGTCGACCGTGTGCAGACCATTTTTCCCCGCCCAATGAAGGTCATCCTTTCATTGGTCCGATATTGAGTGTCGGTGCGCAGGAGGACCCTACACTGCCACCCCCCAAAACACGCAGCACCCGATGTTGCCCAAATCACCCTCCCCCCCCTTGAGGCTTCATGTATCACCAGAGGACAAAAGTAACAGAGCGACTTCAAACCGACCACGCTTCAACGATCCAGGATCACAACAAAACAAAACAACGACAAAAAATTCACAAAAAAAAAAGATGAAAAGGAACCCCCCCCAAAAAAAACAAAAAGTACTACTACTAAAAAAAACAACACAAAATCCGTTTGTGTTCCATTCATGCTGCATTTCCTGGGACGGTCGACAATCTCCTCCAAAACGAAGATCGAACCCAATGCAAAACAAAAACAAACCAACAATAAGCATTTCACATCATGCAACGTGCTCATCGGTCCAGGACCGCAACACTACTCGGCGAAGACAATCTACATTGACAGCCCTAAAAAGGTCGACATCATCGCAGCTTTTCTAAGAGCAATTTGGAAATGCGCCGCAACGCACGGAAACGACACTGAGTGCCGCTCTGTGGGGCACGCGAGCAATGAATACTTAAAACATTAATCAAACAATACCTATATCAAACAATGTGATGGGCAAGAACGACCCCTCCTATGTCTACACTACCTCCACCGCGGCACACTGCAGCACGCAGGACGACGACAACGACGCAGTGCTCCCAAAATGCACACGTGGCGATCGCGCCAACCTCGGACACGAGTGACCGACAGATCTTAAGATCGCTTTCACGATCTCCAAAAGGGCGTTGCACGTCATCAGGTTCACGTGCTCGACCTTCTCGTAGTGCTCTTTCTGCACCTCCAACTCTCGCTTGAGAATGTTGCATTGCCTCGTCAGAACAAAACACTGCCTCTTGATCTCGTTATCCACCGCCGTCGCCATCAGCTTCCCGTGCTTATCCATGACGTCGGTGATCTCATCGAACGTCTGTTGTCTCACATTCCTTCTTTTGCCGCCTCCGCCTGCACTACTACCACTAAACGTTGAATCCCTCGTCGATCCCTGATCGTCATCCTGTCCATCCCCACATCCCTCCCTAGCCACGGATTCGTTCCGGCCGCCACGTGGCCCGGCCATATGCACCCCTCCAGCCGCACCCGTGTCCGCGAGATTCGCCGGGTGAATGATGTGATCGGCCTTCGACACCGTGTTCATCTCGGAATACACATGCTCATCCATCCGAAAGTCGAACCCTTTCTCCTTCCTCTCCAGCGGCGTTACTGTGAAGAAATTTTGCTTCTCGGATTGTCCCATGAATCTGTGCACGGATTTGAACTGCTGGTACAGGTTGTCCCATTTTATCCCGCACTCCTCCGCCTTACTAGTAGTCACCCCCGCCTTCACGAGTCTCTTCTCAACGTCATCCAACTTCCACTTCCTCGATTTCATCCGTCCGTAGTTGTGCCCCAGCCCGGCGAGATGCAAATCCTGGTCTCTTTTCGCTCGGACCAGAGCGATCATATGGTCGACGGTCCAAAAATCCCTGCTTTTCCCCCCGTCGCCGGTGGACATGTCACCCACAGCCTGCTTGCTTTTCCGCCCTGCATGCGGTTCCATTGACTTGTTTGTAGCCCGAGTACCTCCACGCTTCCTTCCAAGCGGACGAGTCTCCATGTCGCCACCATCGTTCTCCCCGTTGTCATTGTTGTCGTCATCTGACGTGCAATCTTCGCCCCCCCCACCATCGCAGTCCACGACCATGTCATGCCCTCGACGTTCATCTCCGCCACCCCTCTCGTTATGCCGAACGGGCTGGACGGACGTGATTGTCACCGATGATCGTCCCAAACCTGTTGACCCGTGACCTTTGTGGCGGACCAATCATTGTCGTCCCATCGCCCGTCGATTGCATCAGTAGGTGTCGTCGATCGGCAGGCCGCCAATCCCGCCGTCCTCGTCCATGAAGCGACCACACCAGCACTGCTCATCGCTCCCCGCTTTTACGAAACAAGTCACGCTTGTCGCCCAACTCACGGCAACACCTGCCGCGCTCGCTCGGAAGCCCCCACGCTGTCGCCGAAGGTCGTGTGAGGTTGCTGCCCGAATCTGGGTTGACGACAACGGTGTGCGTCACATCCCGACCGCTTAGTCTGGAGGAAGAAGCCAACGAAGCAGATTTCTGCAATGGGGGACCGGGGGTGGACGACTACAAAATTCGTAAATTCGACCGTTGGCGAGCCTGCCCGAACGACAAAACCCCTCTAGCAGCCGGCCGAAGACGCCGATGCTCGTCATGGGCCCGCCGACGGGCCGCCCGAAGAACCGACAGCGTTGTCCCACCAATCGCTGGTAACGGTAAACTGAGAAGGCCGTTGCAAGACGTTGATGACGACAACGGCCCGTAATGTCCGTCTTCCGGTCGGCGGACCACGAATGGACCACCTCGCCGTTCAATTTTCCTTCTGGAGTCGACGCCGTCAGCCCGTGAATCGCGGATCCTTGGGTTCCAAAGGACCTAATAAGGTCCTTTGGATTCGAGGACGATTTTCCTGGGAAATCCTCGGAGCTCACTTTTTTTTTCCGAAAATCGACTCCAAGGACAGGTGGAACGATGACGAAATCCTTGGAGTCGCGTCCCCGAGGAGTGTCTAACGACGCCCTTAGTCATTTTAGTAGTTTCAGTATTTTTTGTGCTTCGTGCTTTGCTCTTTCTTTGCCCAGCTATGCAGTCCTACCCTCGGGCTACCGGTATGCCGAGCCTGCCGAGCCTGGAGGTACCAGTAGAAGGAGGTGTTGAGCCTGGAGGAATCAGTACGAAAAGAGAAAACAGAAAAAGAAAAAAAATGCAACGACTCAAGGGACATGAATGCCTATGGATACATCCTGGGTAGCACTTGTGTCAGCATGCCCTCACTGGGGGTGTCTCAGCCGGGTGGCGTTGGTTTCAATTCTAAAAAGTAAAATAAGGATCTCGTTAGACACTCCTAAAAGATTTAGGATGAGTCCTAAAGGTTTTTTAGGACTTCGCGCGGCATCGTTACACGCAGTCCTAAAAATCGTGTTTTACGAATCGTCCTAAAAGGTTTCCCGCGGCCTGTTTTCATACACGTATACGCAGCCGCGTCGCCGATGTTTGTCCAGTCCTGGCTGGTGTATGTGGTCCATACTGCGGTGGGCCTTGGACGGGTGCCGAGAGGTTCGTGAAGCACGCGCTTGTCGAGACCTTCAAAATTTGAAATTCGAATTTTGACGGAAGCAGGCTGGCGGGCTGGAGGACGGCTAGGCGACGCATGTGACGTAAAAGAGACCGTGTTGGCGACCCCTTCGCCGTGGGTAACCAGCTTTGCTGTACGCGGGAATTGTGATGCGCGCGACACATCTTCCTGCTCGGCGCATCTGCACGTACGGACGTGCCGTCCCCTTGCTGTGGACGCGTAGAGCAGCGGGCGTCTATGTTTCCCCTGCGGTCATGACCACGGGGTCCATCTCGGCCCGCGGTCGGGTACCCGACCGCCATGGTCGGATGCAGCCAAAATGCCGCGGTCCCGAGTTTGGAATTTTGTTTTTTCTTCGAAACCAAATCGTAAAAAAAAAATAAAAAATACAGGGATGTAGAGTTTTCTAAACTCTAAACCCGTGTATTTTTTAAAACAACAACCAATGTCGTTTAGGCATTAAAAAAAATATATAACTGAAAATAGACACTGAAAAAAATAATAAAAAAATAATTTCGAAGGGCAAATTTTTATTTTGGTGTTTTTTTTGTGTCGAACTACTGCCTTTCCATTGGACCATGTCTTCTTTTTTTTTTTTTTCATGTCAGGTCAATCTGTGAATTTTTTTTTCACAGTAATCAAAATGAGAGGCCCATTGTGGTTGTTTTCATTGACAATACCAAAAAACGAACGGCCTACATGTGTTCCTGTTGCCGTTTCAGATAAAGTTATGCATCTGTCTAAAACAGCAACAAAAATACTTGTTGCTGTTTTGTTGTCGTGAACGACGTCAAGAGCTGCACACACGAGAAAGAGCGAGAGAGAGAGAGAGAGAGAGAGAGAGAGAGAGAGAGAAAGAGAGAGAGAGAGAGAGAGAGAGAGAGAGAGAGAGAGAGAGAGAGAGAGA